GCGTTTTTCTATTTGTTTTTCTTGTTCAACTTACTGCAGGGATAGGAATACTGGGATTTGGGATGAAGTATCAATTTCAATCACTGGTGTAAGTTATTTAAATTTACCTCGCTCTCCATAAAGTTGTGTTTGTAGCTTCCATTTCATCATCTATTTTGCATGTTAAGATCTAAAATTATCACATGGATGCTATCATAATCAGATTAGACAAAAAGTTCCTCAAAAACATTCTGTGCAAGAGGTTGATTTTCTAAGATTGTTTCTTTATTACTTTATTTCTATCATCGATACTACTACTTTCATATGATGATATTTGAAATTCTTATATTATGCCTTTTCTTATGGATCTAGCCTATCAAGCTATCCGATCCACATCTGGTTTCATCATTCTTTGATAACTATAAGAGAGCATATCTACACACCACGGTTGATTTGGAAAACAAAAGTTCAGCGCCTGCAGAGTGTACCTTAACAATCCAAGTGTCAGCCGGATTAGATGAAGAGATTTTTCTACTAGAGCATCATCATTCATATGAACTATCTGTCACGCCTGGGTCCCTTGTGCATTACACACTTCCTCCAGTGAGTTCTACTGAATATCACCTATTTTCTTAAAATGTGTGAAGATACTTTTCTGAACAAGGATTCTGATGTGTTTATACTCTTTGTTTAGCACTTTGTCATTACCATTTTCTTATTATTATTTTTATTTCTGAGTGGTGCCACTCTTATTGGTCATTTTGATTTTTTACTTTACAGGATGAAGAAATTTAGAATTTGGCATAGCTGCAATATTTTAAAGAAACAACTGTGAAGCTGTTGTCAAGAGAAACAGTTGTAGTCTGCTTAGTTCGGCCGTGAAACTGTTGTGCTGCAATTGTTTCTAAAATAAAGGCTGTTTTGCCCTTATAGAATGTACCTGTTAGTCTACAGTTTCAGAAACAGTTCAACTAAAACATCAGAAATAAATTTCAGAATATTATAAAAAGTCAAAAATTCAAAATAGTCCATTACAAGTCATACATTACTTGACATTATTGAATTACAAAAAATTTGTAATTAAAAAAAAGAACAAGTAAACTTATTTCCAAATGATCTCTCCTAGAGTTATCACTGTCTAAAGTGGACTCCTCATAGTTCTCAACTCATCTAAAGAAGTCACAATCAATAAGCTTCTTGTTTCTTGAACACTTATAAAAGCTTCTCCCAAAATTGGCTTCTCATCGAAATGTGTATACAAAACATTGCAAACTGCAATGACAATATATAATTCTTAAGCCAGTGAAGTTTTTGAACTCATATTTTTTTATAATGCATATTTGAAACGTAGAATGATATTAAAATGAGGAATGAAAATAAAAAACAAGCATAAAACGTAAAACTACTAAAATTTTATTATTATAATAATAATTTGGGCTTAGAGTCAGTGTAAAGAGAGTAAAATTCACATCATAATAAGGCAGTGGATCCATAAAAAAAGATATTTTGGTTGTCTTAAAGCCCTTAATAACAACATTACATGTTGTAAAAGCATAATTGTAGTAATGCCATCCAGAAGAACCCTTTGGGTCGTATGACCCATCATAGACCTAAAAAGAAAAACCCCAGGGTTGTCCTTGAGGACATCCATGTGGGAGCAAAGTAAACATGTTATTAACTTTTAAAAAAAGTCAAAAATCCTACCTACGGTTGCTCGATTAACCATCCAAGTGGAAGCATCAGATTATGTTCATAGTTCAATAAAATAAAAGCAAGAAAAAAATTCATGAATTAAATATGTATTGCATCAACCAACTTAGTTTTATCCTACTCAGTAAAAAAAAAAGAGAGAGATTCTAAAAGTTACTCATGTTCTATCAATTTAACATTATAGGTATTTGAAGCATTCATTAAGACATCTGTAATTTGTTCCCTCAATTGAATCATCTCCTGAACTCTCTCTCCATCGGTTGTCTCAACTCTAAAATATTCCTCTAGTATTGGCTGCCTTGTTTGATGCTTGAATGCTTCAATGGGTATGCACCCTAAAGTCCACATCATCGAGATGGATGTCTGTGTATGAAATTATGCAGATACAATTATTTTGACTTTAATCTTGGAGTATGACCTACTTTTTCTTTTATACACCGAATGATCTCTCAGTTACACCATGTAATGATGAGTGTCGCTTGTTTTAATAATTTATTTTTTATTGCCACATTCAAAATCAGGAATGTGATAGATTGTGTCTTTAAAGGGCTTCAAGAAACCTCATTGCATGATATACCCAACATCGACAAGGTAATACTTCCCTGTAAGTAAGCAATATTAGGACAAATAACTACACATATTTTTAAATTAAATTGATTAATTAAACTGGCTGAAAGGCGGCATTAAAACTTATATTCAGGCCTTCGAGTTTTAAATTTGAAAATATAACTATCACAAGAACTACATTTCCATTTGACCATTGAAAGGGTAAATTGCATGTTGAAATCACGTACTGCTAATATATTTTGTGTTGGAGATCAACAACTCAATGACACTTGCGATCTTTTCGTTATCACCAACACGTACATCGCATGGGTGTCATAAATGACTCTCATGCAGTCCTATTAGAAATTGAAGCCCCAAAGATTAATCTTGAGTAAAACATCGTCATAAATTTATAATAATTATCTTAAAGAATGACATGTATCATCACATATTTCTTTAGGTGTATGACCAAAACTGTGATTTATCAGTTTAACAATATGCAAATACAATCTAACCAACAAACTAAGACCAATATCAAAATACCTGCTAATAGTTTTAGTTGAATGTTGTAATCTTTAGGATGTAGCACGTATCAACTCATTATGTGAAAATATATATAAAGTGATGGCCAATTATGTTGGTGTAATTCTGGATAATTCATGCAAATTGTATTGATTTTGCAATTCGTATAGGAGATCACATAATATTATTTTGGAATTTCAAAACATGTGAACTATAATTGGATGACCTTGAAGGAGTTCACCAATTCATTTGTCACCTAATGAAGAGGATGTCAAGCATGAGATAATACACGAGTTTGATATTATTCATTAATGAGGCATTATAGTTGCCAAAATGGCTATTGTTGAACCGTTTATATGATTTATTCTTCATTTGATGGATCCATCATATCAGTTCTTATATTGTCGAAAGAAAAATTTTGTCACATAAGTGTCATGAATATTAATGTGATAATATAAATAACAATTAATAATGATTTAAGAGTACTTGTAACTTAATTAAACTACTGTGACGTCGAAAGAACTGTCGAGACAAAAATTATGGCACAAGTTGAATTAACCATATAAGTGCAATACACACAAATATTTCAACTAAATGTTCAACAAAATACGAAAAAAACCAAGCAACAAATTTATACACAAAGATCAATTGGATTGATTGTTAAGAAAATATCGAATATAATGAATTCTTTGCTCTGAGAACATTGTGATAAAAGCATCTTGCTTCGTTGGTTCTTCAACATGTTTTGTGGCAAATAAATATAACGACAAGTCCTCAAAGAATTCAGGAGTGCAATCCAATAGTTTAATGGCTTCAACCATCGAATGATATGTGTTTGTTGTGCGAGCATTGGACGTCATACTAGCACACATAGTAACTAATTGTAAAATTTGTTCACTTAAAAATACAACGCAGCTTTATTCCTTTTTGGTTGTTGGCTTTGTGGTGCACTTTGTTTGAATTGATTAGATTTAGCACGTTTCACCTTGTGGGTCTGTTCCTTAGGAATTTCTTTTGAAGAAGCAAATTTAGGCTCATTCAATATCTAAGGACTTTCTTGTTTTGTAGCTCACACATTAGAACTTGAATCTACAACACCAACAAGCATCAAATCAAGCTTATCTTCCAGATTCGAGTCTATGCCACAATGCCTAATTTCATTGCGTTAGATATAACTTTCATTTGAAAAAAACAAATAAGGATTAATGTCAAAATGTCAAATAATTTTTATAACAAGATTATCTACTTATAAAAAACTTCTCTCTCCACCATTCCTTTGAAGCGTCTATTATTTTTTTAGTAGGATCCAAACGTAATCCTCTATTTCCTATCTTCACTTTTTTCCATAAGTTCAATTCTTCTTCAGCTGATATCATTTGTTTCTCAGTTGATTTTGATATACTTTTCTTGTTTTTCATGAAATTATTTTGTTATATTTTGTCAGCCTTCTTTATTGAAATGTGTTGTGGGCATGTTGGCTAATTCTATCTTTTTTTGAATATAAATCACATAAAATGATCTTAACCTTCATCTCCTAACTGAACGATATACCACATTTGTTTTATTTTTCTTTCTTGTGAGTTACAATAAATTAAAGTGATTTTGTAATAAGGGTTGACAACATGAATTAAAATTCACAAATTCAAATGTATAAATGAAATAACCTTGAGGAACATTAATACATATGTGAATGCATAAGACTTGTGTTGTAAGTAAATATTCCAATAATAATTTAAAATAGATTAATTCCACCAAATTCTGGCAAGCCAATAATGTTTACAAACAACAACACATAGCTCTTATGTGTTTGCATATATAGCAAATAATTCTTAGCACTTATGCTCCTACATTAGGTTTGATGTATGTAGAAATGTATGTTTAGGTGTTAGATATGTAAATGCATAAGAATTTAGTTGTGTGTAAGTAAATCTTCCAAATATATGTTATACAACTTTTCCATCTAAGCAGCGCAATCCGACCAATTTTTATGTATCTACAAAGAACATTTCTTATGTATTCCAAACAAAAGCCCATTTCTTATGTATTTCAAACAAAGATAACACCTAGCACAAACTAAATTTTCATCCGTTAAATATTTCTTATGTACTTACATACATTACACACATCACACTGAAATCTTATGTATTTAAAAACCTCGCACCTAAACTTTCATCATTATGGGCGCATACGCCCAAATTCAGAGCAAACCCAAAAAAATTCTAAAGAAAATCACATAATCCCATCAAATTCTCAGCGAACCCAAATAAATTGGAAACAAAATATTATTCCATAAATTCAAATCACATAGCATGGATTGCACTCAATGCAACCAACATGAAATACTTTGTTGCACAGAGAAGATCAGATTTAAATAATTCAATGACGCAGAAGAAAACCGAAAATAGGGGTCCGAAAAGGCATCATTTTACGAAAGCGCAAAAGAATTATAGAGATATATTTGGCAAATTCGAAGGCAACAAGATATACGAGGAATTCCCATAAGATTTTGCCACAGAAACCCTAAACACGGAGCCAACCACAAAGGGAAGGGAAGGTGCGGACTCAGAGAAGCCACAAAGGGAACGGAAATAGAGAAGAAGTCCAAACGGATAAGCCAGTAATTCCATGAATTAATCGGGGGCGGTTCTGTCATTTTGTCATCCCGCCTGCTCCGTTCTGCGGAACCGAAGCATTACACTCTGTTCACAAAATAAAGTTTCGGGGATTTGATTTTTAGAAAAGCAGCCATAACGCGACTCTCCAAACAGCACGGTAGGTGTTTTCCGTAACGGAAAGCAACTAAAAGCTGTTCGAAACTGGACCAT